ATATATATAATAAAATTCTCAAAGAAAGAATTTTTAAAAACTAAAATGAAAAAGAGCAGAATAAAAACCACACACTTAGCATCAAAGGAAAACACAAAGGAGCTGTCCAGGCTTTCTGCATTAAACTGCAGACAGCAGTCCACAAGCATGTGAGCTCAGAAAGCTGGTCCCCACCTCTGTGCTGCCTCGCCACATGGAGTACTTACAGTAGACACATATGCAATACTTACTTTACAGAGAGATGATAAAAGGAGGGCTTTGTTTGCTCTACAACAGTGTATTGCTTCCTTGATGCTATGGCAAATGCCTAACACAAGCAACCTAAGAAAAGCAGGATTCATTTTGGCGTATGGTCTTAGATACAGTCCACCATAGCAGGGAAGTCATGGCAGCACTCCTGGCAAGCAGCTTAGCACGCTGCATCCTCAGTCTGAAACAGAGATGGGCGCTCCTACCCAGCTAGCTTTCTCCTTTTTGACTCTGTCCTTGACTTCGGCCTGTGCTGTGATGCCATGCTTCATTTAGAGGACACCTTCCCACCTCAATGAACCTACTTTAGAGCCTCCTCCAAGACCCACTCAGAGCTTAGTTTCCTGTGTGATTCTAAATTCCATCAAGCTGACAGCCGAGATGAACCTGTCAGTGGCATAAAGGGCTTCAATGTACAGCTGATTCTGGATCTGAACATTTTAAAATGTTTTTTTTTTTCCTGTGTCCATGCTTGCAGTGACCGGTACCACAGGATGTATCGATATTGTTCAAATGTAACTTCTGGTCTTGTACCTTCATCTTGCAAGTTCTGACAGCCATTCCTACACTGCTTTGGTGTTCTGCTGTTTGACCATTTCAATGTCATCCCAAATGAGAAGTACAAAGGAGGAGGAATTAGAAGAGGAAGAGATGGAGGTATCAAATTGTGATTATAATCTCGATTTCTGCAAAACTTATAAGAATATGATCACCTCTCAAGGTTATAGAAGGCCTCAGACAACAGACAGACCAAAGCTTTAATGGCTATAACTTCGGGATAAACCTGCCTTGCTGTGTCTGAAAGAGGTTTACGTTTCCATAAACAACCATGTTTTATAACCTTTTGCTAACTGAGCTCAATAGATCTATTTAAAACATGTCATCATACAGCTCGGCAAAGGCCATACTTACAAATGGAATGCATCTCCAGCTGTTGTCTTAAGCGGATTTTGCTCATTGTGTCATAAAAATTAGGCTCTGACAAGGTTTCTTCTGAAGGTGGCACGCTAAATATTCTCATAATTTTCCTTTTATTCCTAAAACACAAAACCAATGCAGATTTGTTTCAAAACTTACATAATTGTCTCACAATCCATTAAAAGCATGGAACAAATTCTTCTTGTGAAGTACACTATTCTTCACTAACATACAAGCTCTCTGTGTAGAGCATGGTATCACAAGGAAGAAAGATTATAACATTATAACATATATAATACTGTATTGCTAAACAATATATCAAAATGAGGCCCTTTCACTGCGATTCCCCCTAACTCCTAGGGAAAGTAGCACATTAAAAACAGCAGTATATAAACAAGGAAGCATGTCATTTTCCCTCTCTTTCGCAATATCCAGCTAAAGACAAATCGTTGGAGTGGGGAATATTCTGGATGTCAGCAGACCTTAGTTTGGGAAAGTCATGGATAAAAATGTTCTTTAATGACATAGTTCCAGTGGGACATCTTTTTAGAAATGAGAGCAGCGCATCTCTGCTTTTAAAAGAAAAGTGGGAAGGAGGCGGCAGCTCTCTTAGAGAAAAGTTGTCGCGTGCAAGTGGATCTGTGATGACATGTGGCACCTTCTCGCACCCACACCTGGCAGTGCAGCCACTGAGAGGGGGCTGCTTGGCATGCAAGGGCAAGTATGAGTAGGTGGAGTGGACCCAAGTCCAAACAGAAATCATTTCTGGACTATTAGTTATTATAAACTACTCAATAACTTCTTAAATCCTCAGTAGAGAATTCCTGAGATATATACCTACCAGTAAAATACTGCTTTTCCTCTTTAAAATACACACGCTAGCCATCATTGTCGTTATCACCACCACCACCTTCACCACCATCACCACCATCACCACAATCATCACCACCACCACTACCAACATCAGGATCATCACCACCACCATTACCACCATCACCATCATCATTAATTCTATCACTGTTCTGCTGGATTTGGGGGCAGGAAGCTAAGAAGAGTTAAAAAGTACATTTAAATTAAGCTACACCAAAAATGAAGGCAGAAAAATGTCTCTTAGGAATTTGGAGCACACGGCATTTCAATGACACAAGGATAGAAAGACAAGCCCCTTGTTCTCCAGGAGCTGACAGTTTTATAAGAACAGAGATGTGCTGTGCTGGTTTCTTGTCAACGTAATCTAGCTGGAGTCATCTGCGAAGACAGAACCTCAGTTGAGGGATTGCCTCTGTCAGACTGGTGGGCAGGAAAGTCTGTGAGATATTTTCTGGATTCACGACTCTGGTGTGAGGGCTGAGTTCACTGCGGGTGGGTGGTCTCAGGTTGTATCCGAAAACAAACTGGCAAAGCACGGAGAAGGAGCCACAAGCAATGTTCCTCCATGGTCTCTGCTTCAGTTTCTGCCTCTAGGTTCCCATCTTGAGTTCCTGTACCAACTTTCTCAAGGAGGGCCGTGGCCTGTACGCTGACAAACTCTTTGTTCTGCAAGTCCCTTTTGGCCATGGTCTTTATCACAGCAATAGGAAGCAACTAGTACAGTGCCAGGCCTAAGAGTCGAGGAGGAGGCCAACAGGTCAACACGGAGAAGGTGGACAGAGTTCGCTGACTACATGGGTGGTAAGTGTGTTTGCATTCCAGACGCTTGAACCGAAAATGCTTTAAAATATGTTCAATGCAGGGGACACCTATTAATGCTGGTGATGAAGTCAGGCTACTTCAGAAGTGATAGCAACCAGACTTTAGAGCAGTAGGTCCTGTTACACAGAACTGATATGGAAAGGATTTCCAGATCAAGTCTCAGTTGCCAATGCCTGTGTAGACAACACCTTTCAGCCCAGGAACACAATTTCTGAAGAAATATATATTTGTTTGTTTGTTATTTTCAAGACAGGGTTTCTCTGTGTAGCTTTGGAGCCTGTCTTGGCACCTGCTCTGTAGACTAGGCTGGCTTCGAACTCACAAAACTCCACCTGCCTCTGCCTCCCAAGTGCTGGGATTAAAGGCATGCGCAACCACCGCCCGGCTCTAAAGAAATATTTTTATGCATTTAACAAACCAACAAAAACAAATCACATCATAACACTTTAAATCTCGTAAATGCTGGGTATCCTCTCTGCCCTTATTTACCTCTTGGCGTACATGAAGAGGCCAAAGCTAACAAGGATCACTATCAGGTATACATTGGTGGCTTCGTTCCACGCTTCATGGACCGTGTAGTCAATAGAATCATCCCCCATCACGCCATAACTTCCAGCCATGGGATCTGTAAGGGAAAGGACGGTGACTGAGACATGGCCACCAACCGTTGTTGCACGGCCCAGCTAAGAATGATTTTACACTTTGAAAGAGGCACAGGACATTCATTCTTTGCATTTGTTTTGGGGGTGCTGGGGACCAAACCCAGGTCACAGATAAACATGCTCTCTCCCCTGAACTACCCTGCAGTCCCTAAGTAGGCACATTATGAGCCTAAATGTGCTTCAGTTTCCTCACTATTTATGAAACCTAAAATATATTTTTAGTTTGGTTCTTATAGGAAAAGGGATACTGAGCCCAGATATTGGTCATAAAGATACAAAACACATATTTTGCCCATTTTTAATTTTGAAATATTACAACCCTTACATAAATGTTAAAATGTAGGATAAAAATACTGCTAAAAGAATTGAATGTAAGATGGTGCTGCAGTTTTCAAACTGTAGCTGTCATTCAGATGAAAGCACGGAACCCTTCGAAACACAGACCCAGACAATGGGTAGGAGCCTTAGCAGACCAGTCTCTCTATGACAACAAGCCAGAAAATACATGACCGCATTAACTGCGATTCATGTGCCTCCCAACATGCCTGCACACTTGGAGCTGGGCCAAGCTGTGCCCATTTGTCAAACTAGGCTAAAAGAAGCTATGAGACAAAACGTTACGCTGCTCCTTATTCGTAATCATGCATTCCTTGGACATTCCCACAGAAAGCTGCACGGATAATCACAAAAGTATCAGGCAGCAAGTAAGAGAATAAGGAAGGGTTTCTTCTCTGTGTGTGAGAAGTAAATTTATCCCTAGGGACAAGGTTCTTCCCTTGTGTTGAACAGAAAAGGAGTCTCGGTTAAATGACATAAAATATGAAAGCAATCCGGAAGTGTTTTAGAGAGTCTACAAAACCGAGCAAATGGCAGGTGACAAGCCTAATGCAGTATCTCACAAGGCATGTTTTAGTCCAAGGAAAGAAATGCCTGAAATGTCTGAGACATTATTTACAAAGCCTTTGTGTCTTTTGTTTCTGCTTCAACAACAAAGGGGATGCAGAGATTCTTCTACAGAAATACCTTGCAGTCTATTCTGTGAGCTATGCAAATGCCATTAAGGCTGTTTCCCTTGGCAGGCGAATTAGCCTGTATTTTCTTCCTTCCCACTTGTCCATATAAAATACAGGAGGAAGTCCCAGGAAAGAGTTGCTCTGAGCCAGGTGGCGTGCGTTCAATCTGGAGTTCTTGCCAGATGTATGGAGACCTATCGCGCTCATCTGGAGTAGAGTGGACAACACAAACAGACCTCCGGTTTCGACTCCTGACATCGGAGACAACAGGAAGTTCATGTACTGGGGTCTGATGGATACAAACACACCTCTTGTGAAAATATTTTGGTCAAGGAACAATGAAGAGAACTTCTTTATAAAAGACTTAAAACATTAAGATCTAAATAGGAGTGTAGCTCTTACTAAATACTAATGATTAATGCTACGGGCTTTTGGTTGAGTGGAAGGAACAGGAGTAGGTGACAGAGTCAGGTACTCAACTCTTAGTTTTTAAAATTCAATTCCAGGGGGGTTCTCTGATTTTTTTGAATTATAGTAAATAATCAAGTCTGTTTTAGATCCAGAGACTTCTGGAGGACCAAACACTACAACTGCCCTTACTGTGTGTCATTTTGACCACTGTAAACGCCACAATGCTGACGTTTACATGGCAATAGCCATGGCGCCGTTTGGAAGAAAGGAAGTTTTAAGTGTCTGGCTGGAGGTGCTAGAGGGAGCTCAGACAGCCAAGCAGCAACAGTAGAGTACTCAGAATCGGGAGTGGATAAATTAGGGAAGAAACGGGTTAAGGCAGCAATGGCCACTGGATACGGAGTGAGTGCCATTTATTTATCTGTCAAATTAACAAAGTGCTTCCCAATGCCCATTGGATCCTAACCAGATTAATTTCTTGCTACAACTTCTGACAGAACGTTGTCCATGTGCCACCGAGTGAATGACGCACTCCTATCCAGAGCATGGCTTCTTCCTACTAGGCCACTCTATAATTTTATCTAGAAAAAAGGTTTCTGACGACTGCTGATCCGGAGGGGCAAAGTGTAAACCTGAGATATAGGACACTCAATATAAAACATCAGTACTCTGCAATAACGCTGCTCCTCCATGGGTCCTGGGAGGGATGAATGGCCTTAGACCTGCAGCTAGGAAAGACTAGCACGGAAGGCAGACCTCTCCTAGCCCTGACACGATCAAGAGCATGCTCCGGAAGACAACCGGGAATGGAGAGCTCGGAGTCGCGGGGCAGACATGGAACTTTGACCAGCCCGCCCACACACTAGGTGTAGTCTAACTAAGTGTGCGCAAACACACCCTTCATCCTCGGTCTAAATGACGTGTCCAGGAGTTCATTTCTATCAACTTACTGGTCCAGTAAGATATTTGCTGGGAGTGGCAGTCAGAGCTCTTTCGAGAAAACTGACTCCTTCCCTCGGTTGTCCTGGGAACTAACACCTGCATTATCGTTTCAGTAGGAAGATGAATGAGTGAACGAAGTCGCAAGTGAGCATGAGCATTCAGAGATAGCGCCGTCAAAAATGCATCCAACGAGGATTTAGTTTAAGGCTGACCTACTTTTAGGTGAAAAACCCTTTTCTGGTAATCATGAGACATTATCTTACGTTTTTAAATTTGTCTCCACCGTTCTAGAAGTGGGTATTACTTGCCATCATGCCTAGAATGTTATTTTGGTCTCTCGTCTGGAACATTTGTTATTTTCCCACAGAAACGCAGCTTAAACACCGTTTCTAACATCAAAATCCAAGCCCTGTGAAGGGAAGACTCTTGCTCCTGGTTCTCTGAGACACTATGGGGTTTGAGGTCCTGAAGCAGAAGGGGACACGCTCACAGGCCTTCACCCTTTCCCAGAGGAAGGAGGACATCTGAGATCTGAGACCTGGGCAGTTCACACTCGAATGATATTGTATGCAACCAGCCTGCTTGGAGACACTGCGACTCTGTAACAGGTGACAGTGGTGGATCTGTCACCTCAAGGCCACACGGGCTCAGGAAGGAAGGGACAGGGGCGGCACAGAGATCCGACGCCCAAACCTGGCCTCCTCCAGCCGCGTCCCCTATGCAATCCGCTCCCGGTGACATACAGGACGGTCCTCTCCCGACAGGCCGTCCAACGTTCCAGTCGTCCCGTCGGCCACGGAGACACAAGCCCGGGTCTGACCCGCAGCCCGGCGACCCGGACCGGACGGGGCGGGGCGGGGCCGGCTGGCCGGGGCGGGGCGGTGACGCGGTCGCGCGCGCGGGCGAGCGGGCGAGCGCTCAGCGGGCTCCGGAGGTGCGGAGGCCGCCGCGCCGCTCCGCTCCGCTCGGCTCCGCTCGGCTCGGCTCCGCTCCGGCTGTTCCGGGAGTCGGGCGGGGAGCGCGGGCCGAGACCCAGCGGACCGGACGACCACTCCTTCGTCACTTCCTGCCGGCCCGCGGTTTCCGGAGGGAACGAGAAGCCAGGTTTTGTTATTGGTTTTTCTTCCTTCCCTCCCTCTCTCGGGATGCGAGCCCGTGGCCCGGGTGCCGCCTCTGGCGAGAGCGGAGCGGGCCGTCCGTGCGAGCCGCGGCCCGGGTCGGCGCGGGCGGGCGGGAAGCGGCGGGCTCAGGCCCTCGGCGGTGGGGCGGTCGCGGGGTGTCTGCGCGTGCTCCGGAGACGAAGCTGCTGCTCGGTCTCCTCATCTTCCCCGCTGCGAGCCCAAGGCGATCGAAGTGTTCTTAACGCTGGAAGTGCCCCGGGCGCCCTCTCGTTCTTGGCTTGAATGGCTAGGGTGTATTTTTTTTTTTTTTTTAAGGGAGGGAGGAAATAAAAAGAACTCTGCGTAGCGACTTGAACGAGAACGTTTCCCAGCGTGAGGCAGGTGATGAGTGTGTGGGGGATAGCAGCTTCGCCATTAAACCGGTCAGTCCCCAGGTTAGTCCTGGCCATGCAAATAAAGCGGCCCATTGTCCACGTGCTTAAGGGCTTAGCTGTTCCAGCGGGACAAGTTCTCCTGGATCAACTGATTTCTAGTTATAATTCGTGCTCGCATCGTAGCGGTTCTGTTGAATTGGTATGTACAGATAAGATCAAATGATTAATACTGTAACTTTCAGCAAGTAGTCTTGCCTCTTCCAAACTCACCTTTCCCTACATACAGTAACATAGCAACATTTTTTGTAGTATCAGTATATCTGCATTTACATATACAAGCAGTCATGTACATAATTTTTAACCATTTAGTTTGAGTTTAAAGTTAGAAAAAATTAGAAAGGATAACTGTGCTGTTTGCTGCGTGTTTGCCAGGACAGTGCCAGACGTTCATAGATGTTTTAAATCAGTCCGTTTTCAAGGGTAACTTTTTGCTTAAGCATAGAATGGCCACAGTTTTTCAACACGTGAGTTTGATTCGAATGCATCACCATATAGAATGTCTACACTAAATAATTGTTTCTTCTGTGAAAATCAGGGTGTTTGTTGGTCACATAAAGAATCTCAGCAAGTTAGTGTGACTTTAAAAGTTCATAGGATTGCAGTTAATCCCGTTGGGTATTAAACAGTTTACAAAGCCGTGTGGTTCTTACTTATCCAAGTGCCCATTGCACAATATGGCCAGAAAATGAACAAGCTAGGGTGTACATCAGGCAAAGGTACCGAGAGCCAGAGCGACCCTTACTCCAAGAGTCCTTTGTATTTCATAGTACAGTTCCCAACTTAGGGCAAAAGTGTGACAAGATTATCTTTCCAACACCAAGCTAAGAAAACAGCGAGCAGGCTGTTAAATTTTTGGAGTGTCTCTGTTTCTTTTTCTTTTTAGATAGGGCCTCACTATGTATCCCTGGCTAGCCTGGATCTGTGTAGACCAGGATAGCCCTGGACTTGAGAGACCTCCTCACCTCTGCCTTCTGAGTGCTGGGATCAGAAGTGTGCACCACCGCACTCGGCTAGGCGTGTCAGGGTTTCTCTGAGCATTTGAATATTAAGAATATTAGATTTTCTATATTGTAGGTAGTTGTAAAAATCGTATGTGCCTAGCTGGGCAGTGGTGGCTCATGCCTTTAATCCCAGCACTGGGGAGGCAGAGGTAGGCGGATCTCTGAATTCAGGGCCAGCCTTGTGTACAGAGTGAGTTCCGTGGAAAAACGTTTTTATGTGCCTAACTTTTTAATTTGGGTTTAAGTATCTTTAAACACATATTCAGTATTCTCTCCAGTATAAGATTAGAATATGTTTATAAATTTTAATGATTTATGTAGCCATAACAGCTCAAAACTGACTTGTGAGGGTGATGGTAGAGTCTTGCATCGTGAGAGGAGACGTGGCTGGGACGATTAGACTGAGGGAAGTGGTTGGAAGCCTGTGCTTGAGGGTAAATTAGCATACTAGAACTTATCAGAAAATTCCATTAGTGTGTCATCAGGAAGAAATGGAATTTGGGAAAGCTTTGTTAGTTGGTATTTACCAAAGGGTTCCTTTCTTTACTTGTGGACGGATGTCCTTGGGGGAGGGACAGAGGGAGGTATGGGGGAGGGGGTGGGAGAAGGATGCAAGTTGTCTTTGTAGTGAATTCTTTTCTGTGTGACTAATTCTTGCTACCACATAGGTGCCTCTTCAAGCACTTCGCAAGCTTTGAGATTTGGGGGCCGGTCATTGGTAGATGAAAGGAAGAAAAAGGGAAGAGATGGTAGTGTTAAGGAATCCCCCAGACAGACAACGGAATAGGCAAGGCCTTAGGAGGCTTTCTTATGGGCAAAATTTTATCAATATGAGCAAAATCTATCCCAGTAAGAGTGACAATGAAATTTGTAAATGTCTCATGTCATCTGTATCAAAAATTACAGACTGTTCCCTTAATATAATCTATACACAATTGGGTAGATTTATAATGTAATGCGATACATGAAAAATTACTGAATTATTCCCATCAGCCATTTCTGTACAACCTGGTGAAGTTGTAGGGACTGGCACAGTCTCCTCAGCTCCTGGCCGTAAGTCATCCGAGACATAACCGGAAGCCAGGCCTGTCTCATTCATCACTTCAAAACTTGGCTCTCAGCGTAAAAATTTGCCTAGAATACTTGGAACCCTGGGTCCTATCCCCGACATTGCCAAAACTCAGTGGAAAACTTGTCTCCGGTATGGGTGCCCTTTAGCCCACAGACAGCAAGCCAGTTTCTGCTGTGAGTTAGTTGGTGATTATCTCCAGGGCCTAGAACAGAGCCTGGCCAGGAAAAGCAATTGTGGAATAAACATTGCGCCAGATAGATCTGCTTCCTTTTGTTTAGGTCCTTCCTGCCCTTATGTGTGGGGCTCCTCCAGCCTCACCTCTGTAATCGAATCCCACTCCCCTTTGTGTGTCGTTTACACAGTGCCGTTTGGGGTCTCATTTTTTTCCTTCCTTCCTTCCTTCCTTCCTTCCTTCCTTCCTTCCTTCCTTTCTTTCTTTCTTTCTCTTTTTGCTTTGTTGTTGCTGCTGTTTTGAGACAGGGTATCTCTTTGTAACAACAGTCTTGGCTGTCCTGGAACTTGTTATGTAGACCAGGCTGGCCTCGAACTCACTGAGCTCTGCCTGCCTTTGCCTCTCAGGTGCTGGAATTAAAGGCGTGCGCCACCACCTCCTGGCTGGTGTTAAATCTTCATGGCTTATGTTGCTACTTTAGTGTCTCATATAGTCTGCTTCCTCACTTCAGATACTATATATTTTAAGGCTGTATCTATTTATACAGCACTGTTTTCAGAATTGCCTTAGCATCTGGTATGTCTATACAGAGTTGGCTTGTCTGGCTATGGAGTAAATACTAGTTATCATGGGAAAACATCAAATATATCTTGAACCATTGGTAACATATTAGTTGGGCAAACTTTGTGCACACTTAGGAAACAATGTAAAAACTTAGTGCCAAAAAATAATGAAGAGTAATATTTGTCCAGTGCTAAAAATGTGCCAGCCGGTGTCCCTGTCCCCTCTCGTTCATTTGTGTCTCAACAATCTTTTGCAGAAGGTAGTTATAATCTATTTTTCAAGGGAGGAAACGGCTGTGCAGCAAAGCTTTCTTACCCAAGATTATGATGTGCAAATTAAATAGAATAGGTAGTCTGGCTCCCGGGCCAGCCAAGCTTCTCTCCCGAGTTGGCTTATTTCTGGTGTGTGTGTGGGGGGTCAGTTTGCCAGTGCACAGAGGCCAGAGAAGATGTCAGATGGCTGCCTTGTTCCCTGGAGACAGGGTCTCTCCCTGAACCTGGAGCTGTGTTGGTGCCTAGCAAGCCCCAGAGTTCCCACACAACAGGGATTTTTTATGTTGGCGCTAGGGACCAGAACTCATGTTTATGTAACACTGAACCCATCTCCCCAGCTTGGGAGGTTTACTTTATAATTTGAACAATCTAAAAACAAAACGCTATTTTTGCAGTTATAAAAGGTGCTCTTAAGGAGTCAGGGGTGACTGGAGAAATGGCTCCATGATTAAAAGCACTTGCTGCTCCAGTGGAAGATCTGAATTTGGTTCTCGGCACCCACTTGGCAGCTTATACCCATCCATCATAACTCCAGTTCCAGGGGAGCCAATCTCCTCTTCTGTCTGCCATGGCGCCAGGCACGCATGTGGTGCACATCCACACATGCACGGAAACAACTACATATATTAAATAAAATAGATGTTCCTCTATTAATTAGTTAATCATTGTGGTGCTAGTGATCTGAGCCTCGTGCATGCTAAAGGAGTGATCTGTCACTCTCCATTCCAACCCTAAAGATGTTCTAAAAACTTCAGCAGGTAAAAAGGTGCTTGTCAGCCTGTTGCCATGAGTTCTATTCCTGGGACTCTGTGAATGGAAAGAGAGTACTAACTCCCAAAGGTTGTCTTCTGACCTGTACATGAACACAAAATACAAGTTTTTTTTAATCCTTAAAAAGTTTAGGGTAGCCAAAAATAAATAGGTAGGTAGGTAGATAGATAGATAGATGATAGATGGATGGACGGACGGACAAACAAACAGACAGATAGATAGGATGACTGCAAAGGCACTCCTGTGCTTTCCAGGTAGAAGAGGCAGATAATGGAGGCTCAGGGACATTGCTGTGCAGAGACTAAAGATGAGGCTGAGTAAAGGTTTTATCTTGGTGGCTGTTGGGTTCTAGGATAATGATTCACCAGGACAATGACTTGTACATTCCTACTTTAGTGTCCGACTGCTTCTGCCAAATAAAGTCACGCTGGTGACACGTTGCAGCTCGCTGGCTTCCTAAGCATTCACTAGACTTAAACCAATGTGATCTGTGGTGGTGCGGGTTACTGAAGTTGTCCTCAGGTTTTCTGCCCTCTGATGGAATTTGGTCCCACCTTTTCAGCTTGTGTTGAGCAATAGGCAACACTCAGAAAAGGTCAGGAGTCCTCTTCTGACCAAGTGCTTCCTTTTTTTAAATGGTGGAACAAGATGTAAAATTTTAGGTTGATTTGGTATAACCCTGGAATAAAATCAGAAGTGTGGAATTAAACAAACAAAATCCAGCACAGGAAAGGACAATTACATTCCCCTAAAACCTCTAGATGTCACTTCACAGATAGGGGGTTGTACATCACCTGACTGCTGTCTACGAATCAAGAAGACATGCCTTAAAATGAAGCATGGTGGACAGACCCTGTGAAGGTACAGTATTCTGTGTTAGAGATCATTTCCATTCATCCCTGGACTGCTTTATAATACACCGGTGAAAAAGTGCCTGAGCCGCTACTGCTTTGACATCATTTATTTTGAGATGTCCTGTGGAGAAGTGACATGCGTTCTGCTTCCCAGCTCATGTCCTGTTTAAATATTTCAGAAACTAACTTGGGAGGTGGCGGTTGAAATCTGTAGTGAAATGCTCATCAAGGGCTGGCAAGATGGCTTAGCTTAAGACAATCTGGGCTCGATTCTCTCAGCACCCACATGGTAGCTCGTGACTGTTAACTCTATTTCCCGTGGATCTGATGTGCAGTGCCCTGCTCTGCTCTCCACGGGTGCCAGGCACATGCGTGGCACACACGCAAACATTCATAAAATAGAAAACAGTGTTTATCCAGTTGGCATGTTAGCCTTCATGTCAGGCTCCTCCCTAAATGGTTTTTAGTGAAAGATTCTGATGCACTGAGTCATTTAGTGAACCCAGGATAGACAAAAATTGAAAAATTAGTCATTACAATGTCCATGTATACTTTTTACTAATTTCAAGAATTATTGATTATTTGCAATATTGTTATATGCCCTATGATACCTCTTTAAAGTGTATTTTAAAGTTGAAGTGAAAAATTAAAATTTCTTATTGATACTATTTATATTTTAGTTTTAGCTAAAATATTATTTCGTGTAAGGATTTGTACTGATAAGAATTTTGGGTTTTTAATCTGGTTGATTTTAACTTTTCTTTTTTTAAGGGCTCTTACCTTGAAAACAGCATGATTGGCTTCCATGTCATCTTTGAATATGAGTGACATTCCTAGTTTCAGCATGCCCTCATAGAGACCAGCAGACCAGGGCTATTCTTTCAGGAAGCCTCGCGCTGGAAGTAGTGTATTGGATGTCTGCACATGGACTGGATTGCCCACTGACTCATAAGAATATTGAAAGCTGGTAAACAGCTGAAGACAGGCGGGTTTAAGGAAGCAGCTCCAACCCCCTTAAGGCTTTGAACATCTTGAAAGAAGATCATTGTAGAGATGAGTGAGAAGATTGCAGTCATTTCTACATTTGTTTCTAGACATTCATTATCTTTGTTAACCCATCCACTTGGTGCATGATATTTGAGTTATTTTCCATGACTGTAATAGCTCATAATCTGCTTCTCATCAGTTTTATCTGTGGGTACGAAATCACATAAGTAAGAGGTGAAACAGGAACCGTTTATTGGGATATCGATGCCCTCACCTCCACAGAAATGGACATTCGTTGACTAATCACTAAGGAGTGAGAGAGTTGTTTCCTGTAATGATGTACTCTTTCAGTGAAGTTCTGTTTTAGCTACCCAAGGTGTCCTTTTGGACAAGTTTTTAGCACTGAAGAGCTAATAATCATAAAATAAGAATCAAGCCGTTTGTGGTGGTGCACACCTTTAATCCTAATACTCGGGAGGCAGAGGCAGTTGGATGTCTGAGTTCAAGGCCAGCCTGGTCTGCAGAGCAAGTACCAGGACAGCCAGAGCTACACAGAGAAACCTTGTCTCGAAGGAGGAAAAAAAAAAGAATTGCATCTTTGTAAGTAGAACTTTAATATACTTGATGTTCTACCTTATATTTTCCAGAATCAATAACAATTTCTAAAGCTAGATATGGTAACACATGTCAATAATCTGAGCACTTAGGAGACGGAGGCTGGAGAATCAGGAGTTTAAAGTCATCTTCAGATTTGTAGCTAGCTGGAGGCCAGTCTAGGCTAAGTAAGACCCTTCTCATCAAATTAGGAAAAGAAAAAGAATAATTCCCACTCTTTTCATGATTATTTTTTGTTTGTTTTGGTTTTTGTTTTGTTGTTTTGTTTTTTGAGACAGGGTTTCTCAGTGTAGCTTTAGTGCCTGTCCTGGAACTAGGTCCTGTAGACCAGGCTGGCCTTGAACTCACAGAGATCCACCTGTGTCTGCCTCCTAAGTGCGGGGATTAAAGGTGTGAGCCGCCACCACCTGGCCAGTATTACTTTTTTTTTTCTCTCTTGTCCAGTATTTAGTTGTTGCTCTCATTTGTTGGTGATATCTTTGTTTTCCTTCCAGTAATCTGAGTATCCCAGAAGATATGGCTAGTAGAACTTTCTAATCCTTTAAACTTTGTGTTAAGTTTCTTTTTCTTTTCTTTTCTTTCTTTCTTTTTTTTTTTTTTTTTTAAGGATTTACGTCTTTATTATGTATACTTTGTTGGCTGAGGTTTCTGTCCTGCTCAGTTCCCACAGTCGTTTAGTCCCAAAGAAATCACACAGAGGTCTACATTAATTATAAGCTGATTGGCCTAGTATCTCAGGCTTCTTATTAATTCTTGTAACTTACATTAGCCCATAATTCTTGTCTGTGTTAGTCACGTGGCTTGGTACCTTTTTTGGCGAGGCAGTCACATCTTGCTTGCTCTGTGCCTGGCTTCCTCTCTGTCTGGGTGACGACTGCAGACTGAAACTTTCCTCATCCCAGAATTCTCGTTGCCCTGCCTCTACTTCCTGCCTGGCTACTGGTCAATCAGCGGTTATTTAAAATACAAGTGACAGGGTACAGACCATTGTCCCACAGCAATACATTGTTCTGCCTGCATGTATGCCTGCAATGCAGGCCAGAAGAAGGTACCAGAAGGCATTATAGATGGTTGTGAGCCACCATGTGGTTGCTGGAAGAGTGAGTGGCCAGTGCTCTTAACCTCTAAGCCATTTCTTTAGCTCCATGTTAAATTTCAAACTAGTTTTTAGCTTGTTGCCATGACGTTCCCTCTTACCCTTCCCATTTAGTGTATTGAGGGAGGCAGTGCAAAAGAAAAAGCAAACACACTTGTGTAGTTAACAAATGAAAGTCAAAGTGAGAAGGAAGTACCACACACCTTTCATTCCAGCACTTGGGAGGCAGAGACAGTTGGAACTTTGTGAGTTTGAGGCCAGCCTGGTCTACAGAGCAAGTTCTAGGACCGTCAGGGCTATACAGAAAAACCTTGGCTACAAAAACAAAAAGAACAAAACAAATAATCAAAAGTAGTCCTTAAGGTCTTATGCCCATACACATTTAGATAGAGACCAGTTTTTTTAGAGTTCTAATTTTAGAATTAACTTGCTGGTTAGACGTAAGAAACATGATGTTGTAAATTATATTTTCAGCTCTTCCTATCATGGTCTTACCCTTACATTTATGTAATTTAAGAAACATTTTTGTTATTACAGTTCATGTTTTACTCAACAAGGACAAATACAAGAAAAAGAGCATATGTTTTAATTTAGCGAAGCAAAATTCCATAAAACATTTGGTTAATTTTAATATTTTCTCTAGTAGGAAGCCTGCTCTGTTTTCCTTTCTTCTCCTTCTGCCTAATCTACTCTAACCACTTGTTCTCCGTTGTACTTTTTTTTTAGCCATCTGTCAGAATTTTTGTGTGTGTGTGTGTGTGTTTTGCTTCTCCCATAGGTCAACCTTCTATTTTAAATTCTTATGTTCTTTTTTTAAAGAATTTTTAAATGTTTATATTTATGTTTAATTCTGTGTGTCTGTGTCTGTGTGTACATGCCTGTGAGTACGTTCCTTCGGTGGCCAGAAGAGGGCATTAGATCCTCTGGAGCTGGAGTCACAGGTAATTGTGGGAGGGAGGCTAGGAACCAAACAGGTTCTCGGCCAGAGCAGTATATGCACGTAAGTGTTGTTCCATCTCTCCACCCCCTTTGTCTGTTCTCTCTCTCTCGTCACATGGCTGTGCCTTCCTCCTAATCTGCCACCTCCAGCCAGCTTCGTCTTGTCAGTGAGCCATTGTCCAGTCTCTGGTATTTTGGGGTTTGGTCTGGTTTTTAGTTATAAGAAGCTAATGCCGTTTCCGTGACAGTGTTCAGTCAGGGTGCGTTTGCTCTGCAGGTTCTTGTTTGCCGTGTTCTTAGGAGGCAGGCATTACTAGATGGATTTGTTATCAGTCCTTGCACAGAACACAGCTCCTGTGTGTGTGTTTTCTGAGTATCTAAGATGAATCAGTTTTTAGTAACTTTTCCCTGGAACATTGGGTTCTTCTGTTTTCTGATTCTAGGAATTAAGATTAGTACTCTAGACAGTGGATGCTGCTTCAGAATGAGGAGAGTCCAGAGCACTGCCATCCTTACCGTTGAAGAGTTACTGACAGTTACTGCTCCTTCTTCAAGGTTTTGTCATGAGCACGCGTGACAGAATCATAGACAAACAAACTTTGTCTTTCCACAATGGCGGAAGTTACTGAATAAATGAATTTCCAAGGAACTGCCATTTCAGTGGGGGCAGTTTTCCAGATAACCCCACTTTCCTAGGTTATCTGGCTAAGACAAACACAGGTTTTTCTTCTTTCCTTTTTTTTTTTTTTGAAGGTTGATTAATATATGTAAGTAAAAATGAATTTATATGTACTATGTGTGCAGGTGCCTTTAGGAGAGGAGGGCGTCTGATCCTTACATTCCTAGAGATACAGTGACTAGTCAAAATGCCTAGAATTTAGTACTGGCAGCTAGTGTGGGTGCTGGGAACCAAACCCAGGTCCTCTGCAAGAATAATAAATGTTCCTAACCTCTGAGCCATCTTTCCCGTCTCCCGATATGGGGTTTTTAACTCTCATTCTTACAGATTACCATTAGGACGAAACTTGCACACTCAAAAAGAAGCTGACATGAAATTCTACAGAATGAGCTTCATGAGGAGTTGGGAGAGGGAGAGAGGGGTGCGAGCCTTCAGGTCTGGGAAGGAGTCACAGGAGAGAGATGGCTGCCATATGTAGTACAAAGGAAAGCCTTCAAATCTCCTTCGCAGCCTCAAAACTAAGTTTGACTTACAGCTTTTTTTGGTTTGGTGGGGTGGGGATGGGGAGTGTTCCCTATTACCTAACTATAGCTTATCCTCTTGGCAGGGAGCCAAACACTAAACCATTAATAGTTGCATGGGGGCAGGGCTCTAGGCATATCAAGGCCATCTCAGTTCCTGGTAGACACAGGGCAAGAGGTGCGGCCTGATAGCCTGCAAGACAGGCAGGGTCTGTGATCTAACATGTCACACAGTAAATACATCTGTGTGTATACAGGTTACAAGTGGATAGAAAAGGCTGCTGCAGAGTTCCTAGGTTTCAAAAATAAGCTGATAGAACTGCACCTGGGTCTGCACTGATGAGGGAGTGGGGCCCAAACCAGCTGCAGGCCTGAGTCCCTGAGTCAGTCAACCGCAGGCCTCTTCTCTTGCTCGCGGGCTTAGGAGAAGCTGCTGAGTTGAGTCCAGAAAGGAATGGTTAGACAGATGGGTGGGGATCTCCAGTGGAGTTGGCTGCTTGAACAGGAGGGACTGAGCTAAGTGGAAGACCTAGAGACAGTCCTGTCGATTTTGATGCATGCACCAGGTGTCAAGTGATGGACCGAGGCCTTGGGCCATCATAGTTGTGTATGCTGGTCTCCTACGCAAGTCCAGATGAAGGAGCGAGACTGTTTCCTCAGCCTGGTATATATAGCAGGTTCTCGAATCTGGTTTCCCTGGTAGGATTTTAATACACCCAGTTAAATAGTCTTAGCCCACTCAAATTTATAAGGGGGGCACCCTTTCTATTTTCAGGTATAAGTCCGGGCAGCTTGAATGGTACTTGTTTGTACCCATTGTGATTTTGTGAAGCCAACCAGGTATTACCAGGGAAACTGGATTTTCCTTTTGGGGCTCTTAGTCTCATTAATAATGGTAATAATAGAAATGGAAAGTATTTTGAGGACAGTTTGTTAAAGTTTGAAAAGCATGGTGCAAGGTAGGTGAAAATCCTGGTAGCCACAAATAGGAAGATGAAGAAAAAGCCAATCCTTTTAAGTTAATTGTGGAATAGAAATTGAGGCAACTCATTAAGAAAGGAGAAAATATTCTCAAGAATGGAAGAAGGATCTATATGATCATCAATTTATTTTTATTTAAATTTTTAGATTTATGTACATAAATGTTTTTCCTATGCATGCATATGTGAGCAGTATGCATCCCTAGTGCCATGAAGGTCAGAAGAGAGTATTGTGCCCCCTAGAAATGGAGTTATAAAAGGCTATAGCCCCCCTCACTCTCTCTGTCACACACACACACACACACACACACCAGCCCCACCCAGCTCTCCTCTTTGCTCTGGTCAGTATTTCATAGGTGGTACCTTGTTCACTCTGCTCATCCGAGGTTCCCAGAAGAGGGAGGGGCTTCTAGGCTTTCTCTGCAGGCTGGCTTCTGTCATGTTGCTCTTGATGTATCTTTTTCCAGTTGCTAATCTCCTGTCAATAAAGAATGCTCTCTCATGGCAAGAGCCAGTTTAAAAATTCACTGTTTCGCACTCTGTGGAGTAAATTAGAGCGAGGCACAACATGACCTCGACAGTTTTACAGCAAAAACATGACTGAAGTCAACATGGGAGGACAGGAAGAGAAAGTAAATACTATTGGAAAAGGACTTGCGTTAATAATCAGTTTCTAGAAATGGAGCAAACAGCGGATTTGACATTTATTATATAAAAGGTCCTCTACACAAAAGTAGCCATATCTCTAGTAACTAGTTTTACTAGTGCCT